CAGTGGGTACCAGAGCCCTGATGAAGTAAGTATTGCTCTGTGTGGAGGGGGGGGCCCTACACAGCTGATCCTCCAAGGTAGTCAGAGGCCAGTGGCTAATGGGCACAGCCAGTCCTTGCAGCTGATCAGCCTGAGTAAATCCCTCCCATTGATGTGCCAACAGCAATCCAGACTCAATTACAACAGAAGAGTATACAGTCCACACTAGGGGTGCACCTCGAGGGCCCAGTTGGGGTGATCAGAGAGATTGTGCCACTGGATCCTACAAGACACCTACAACAATAGGCCACCTTACGAAGCCTAGGAGACATAGAAACTCTACCTAATACATAGAAACAAACACAGGGAAGCAGCCAAAATGAGGAGACGAAAAAAAAAACATATCCCAAATAAAAGAAAAGAACAAAACTCCAGGAAAAGAACTAAACAAAATGGAGATAAGCAATCAGTCAGGTGCAGAGTTCAAAACACTGGTTATAAGGTTGCTCAAGGAACTTGGTGAGACATTCAAGGGCCTTAGTGAGACCTCCACGGAACTTAGTGAGAACATCAACAACATAAAAAAGGACCAGTCAGAAATGAAGGATGCACTAACTGAAATAAAGAATAATTTATAGGGAACCAATAGTAGAGTAGGTAAAGCCAAGAAGCAAACCATCGATTTGGAATATAAGGAATCAAAAAACACCCAATCAGAATAGCAAAGAGAAAGAAAGAATTAAAAAAAAAAAAAAAAAAAACGAGGATAGTGTAAGGAGCCTCTGGGACAACTTTAAACGTGCCAACATTCACATCATAAGGGTGCCAGAAGGAGAAGAGCGAGAACAAGAAATTGAAACCTATTTGAAACAATAATGACAGAAAACTTTCCTAACTTGGTGAAGGAAACAGACATACAGGTTCAGGAAGCATAGAGAGTCCCAAACAAGTTGAATCCAAAGAGATTCACACCAAGACACATCATCTTAAAATGCCAAAGGTTAAAGACAAAGAGAGAATCTTAAAAGCAGCAAGAGAAAAGCATTTGGTAACCTACAAAGGCGCTCCCATAAGACTGTCAGCTGATTTCTCAAAAGAAATTTGCAGGCCAGAAAGGAATGGCAAGAGATATTCAAGGTGATGAAAAGCAATGACCTACAACCAAGACCACTCTATCCTGCAAAGATACCATTTAGAATCAATGGACATATCAAGAGTTTCCCAGACAAGAAAAAGCTAAAGGAGTTTATCACTACCAAACCAGTATTATATGAAATGTTGAAGGGTCTTCTTGAAAGAGAAAAAGAACAAAAATATGAACAATAAAATGGCAATTAATATGTATCTATCAGCAATTGAACCTACAGATAAAATGAGCAAGCAGAACAGAAACAGACTCCCAGATACAGAGAACGTTTTGTTGCTTGCCAGATGGTTGGGGCTGGGGGGAATGGGTGAAAAAGATGAAAGAATTAAGAAGTACAAATTGGTTGTTAGACTGATGAACCTCAAAGGGAAGGGGGGAGGAAGGGTGAGATGAGATAAACCAAAGAATTCCTATGCATATATGCATAACCAATGGGCACTGACAATAGTGTGGGGAAGGGAGGAGGGGGCAGGATTGGGGAGGAGGGGGTCAATGGGGAAAAAAGGGGAGAACATCTATAATACATTCAACAGTAAAGATGAGTTAAAAAATAAATAAATAAAAAATAAAAGTGGTGGGAGCCCTTGCCGGTTTGGCTCAGCAGTTAGAGCATTGGCCCGCGGACCAATGAGTGGCGGGTTTGATTTGGGTCAAGGGCACGTGCCTCAGTTGCGATTTGTCCCGGGCCCTGGTTGGAGTCATAAGGGAGGCAGCCACACACTGTGTCCCTTTCACATTGATGTTTCTCTCTCTCTCTCTTCCTCCCACTCTATCTGAATAAAAATGGAAAAATGTCCTCGGGTGAGGAGAAAAAAAAAGAAAAAAAGGGGGGGGGAGCAGAAGCAGAAATCCTTATCCTATAACACCCCCAGCTGCAGATCAGATTCAACCCACTACTCCTTACTACTATTCTTTTTTTTTAAATCCTCATCCGAGGACATTTTTCCATTTTTTGTACAGACAGAGTGGGAGGGAGAGAGGGGAAGAGAGAGGGAAACATCGATGTGAAAGGGAAACATCGATGTGAAAGGGACACATCAAGTGGCTGCCACCCGCACGACCAACCAGGGCCGGGGACAAACTGCAACCGAGGTACATGCCCTTAGCGGGAACCGAACCCGGGTCTCTCCGGACCGCAGGCGGATGCTCTAACCGCTGAGCCAAACCGGCCAGGGCACTACCATTCTTAATAAATGTATTCTGTCCATCTGCGTTCAAGTTCATCTCTTCTGTTCTGAAACCCGATTGAACTTTTCATGTATGCAATAATTTTGTTTATCTCGGGCGAATGCCAAGCTGAGTTGAAAGCAGAGTGTAACGATTTTAGTTGTTTGGTGGTCAACTAGTACATGGAAAATTCTCCTCCTACCCTGGAACTTCTAGAGCTGTGTTGCTGTTCCTTCATTTCCAGTTCTCAAGCTTCCGATGCTGCTCACTTTACTTGGTGCACCGCCGAGCACCACGTAAGATCTGCTTGCAACGTAGGAACATGTGGAGAAATTATGTGTTTTTGTCACACCCTATTAAACGGTATTCAAAACACAATGCCCCAGAAACTAAATTGATTGTAAGTTTTATAACCCTTTTCAGGGTAATGGAAATAATTCAGGACCATGAAAGAGCGCCCAGCCAGAGCAGCTGCAGGGACCCAGCCCGCGTGCTCAGCAGTCCCGCCTCGGCTCCGGTGGTGCGAGTTCAGTTGGAATCCATTCCTCTAGATCTTTGACACGTCATTCCGGATTAATGGCTACAAAGTTTTCCACATTTCTTGTAAAATCAGTGTTTCTTTTGAGTGATTCTGAATTGTGTGTGAGACTGGAAAATGTCAACAGGTATGAAGACAGTTTCCAGCCACTATGATATTATCACGTATGTAATATTTTCATGCTCTTTTCAGGTTCCCAGCACCAGCATATGGCTCGAACTCAAACCCAGGAAGCAGAGTTAAGAGAAACACTACTTTTACATTCCCGCTAAGTATCAGACAGTTGTGACTCTTCCCACATGGATATAAGGAACCACTTATGCAAGCCCGTGACTCGATGGCAATGAAATCACAGGGCTGTTTTAATATGTTAAAAATAAAAAGGAACATGTCCCCTCGCAGGTTGACCGGTAACCCCCCGCTTCTGAGCTGCCTGGTGATGCAATGCCTTGATCCTGTCAGCTGTCATAAGTGATCACTCACTCAGGCATTACCTGCACTGCACGCTGCTCCATCAGAAAAACATCTGTGAACATTATTTGACAAATTGATCGCTAAATGAGCCATTAGCTGAAGGGGCTTTCGGATTGCCTCTAGGAAGCCAGAGTGGCTGCAGGAGAAAAATGCTTACAGATGCAAAGCGCAGACTAGAAAGGGAGAAAGAACTCTTGTGTCAGTGCTCATGGGGGGGCCGTGTGGGAAAGCGGGCGCAGAGGTGGCAATAAACCATGTTCTGCAAGAAAACCCACCTTCTCGAGAGGAAGCTGTTTATTAGAAGCAGTAGTAAAACTGCTTAATTCCCTCAGTGCCTCAAGGGAGAAATCTAAGCCTTTGTGAACCGAAGGAGAGAGAAATGTAGCCAGTGGTGTGCTTGTCAAGAAGAGAAAGCTAGGAAAACAACCTTAGTCATTTTACCATCCCAGCGTGCCAAGAGCCGACAGGTGTGCAGTTTACCATTGTTCTGACAGGACGGCCAGATTCCGCAGTTTAGTATTCTCCTCTCCTCCAGCGTGTGGGAGCAAACAGCTGTCTCCCTGGCGCAGGATGTAAGGAGTGGAGGGGGCTGGGTGGGAAGAAAGAGAGAGGCAGAGAGAACGAGGGAGACAGAAAGAGGGAGAGGGAGACACACAGGAGAGGGAGAGGGAGAGGGAAGGGTGTGGGGGGTGAGCAGGGAGACAGATTCTTCTATTCTCAGTTGCAAAGCTTTGTTTGATTCATCACTAAAAACACATGGTCTTCCCAAGAAACGCATTACATATGGGTCGTTTCCCCACAGTGGCTCCAAAAATAACCTATAAACAATATATTGCAATTTAAAGGTAAATAAATGCCGAAAGATGCCTAGGCTAAATCATGTCAGACCAATGAGAAGTTATCACATAACAGTCCTTAAGGAAATGCCTTTTAAAAATCCTGCCATTTTCACATTGCTGACAGGTGTTTGTTATTTTTCGAGAAAAAAAAAATTATCTTTGAAAAAAGAAATCAGGTTATTTTTATCCAGAACGGTGTGTTTCCCTGCTTTGCATGGACTGGAAATTATTTCAGTACCAGATTCCCTGGAAATAGGGAAGAAAGAGCCCACGGGGCTTACAGAGTGCGGGGTACAGTAGCTGTGAGGCTTGTAGACTGTAGACTAAGTTTCCTTTCGGGTCAAGGTATTAAAGGCTCACGGTAACAGGCTGGTACAATGTCATCCTCCCATGGCAATTGATAAGAACCAGACATCTGTGCTGAATCCAGGGCTCTCTGGACCGAAAATTTGGTGAAGACCAATAAAATCTATGCTGCTTATATTTACAAGGGAGAAACTGCATCTATTACATGTGTGAAACCTGAGAAATGCTGGCTCTCTCCCAAGAGCCCAGATATTTTTCTAATAAAATAAGCAGTGAACTTCAAACAACTCTAAACTCATGGCATAATGGTACAATCACATATATAGCCCCCTAGGCTTATACCGCAACGCACTAACCCAACCCCGTAATAATATGAGCCAGAGGGATTGAATTATCCACCACAACAAGCCAATTGCAGGTTAAGAGCAGAGCGTCTGCCATCTGAGAGCCTATTTTAGGGGCAACGAAGTGTAATCCACTTACTTCCTTTGACAAACCGAAACATTACAATTCACATGCTTAATAAATATATTCTTATTATTTCACATACTTTTTCTCCATGTTCCAAGAGACGGGCTGAGATGGTCCTTCCTCCTCCCACTCGGACAGGGCTCAACTGGTCCCTTATAGCCCTGTTTTTCAAGCCTATAAGCAGGTGTGATGAGAGAAGGAAGGCGTGAGGGATGAGGGCAGCAATGAGCAAATCCTTTTTCTGCTGCAGAAATCGCTTTTTAGGCCGCAGACGGAGCTGCTCCTGCCCGGGTGCACGTCAGCTAACCAAAACGTAGCAATAACTTTCAGGTCCCCGTAAATGCCCTGCTTGACCAGAAACGCAGTACAGCCAGTCAGTGAACCCCCAAAGGCCAGGTCAACTCTGGGCTTTCTCTCCCCAAACAAGGTTGACTCCTGGCCCCAGCCAATCAGGTAGTTCCGTTTGTCTCTTCTTTGTTCTTTGTTCATTGTCCTCTAAAAGATCCTGACTTCTGCCCCATGTTGCAGCTTCCTGAGAGGCTGCCCATTTCACGAAGTGTTTGTATCCCGTCAGTTGTCTCCCTCAGTCACTTGTTAACACTGTGACATGCTGACTTATTCTAGGCCAGCCTTTAATCCAGGAGGGATTATTTTCCTGGTGAAAAGGAAGAGAGAATCTGTCCACAGAATGTCTTCTCAGGTGGAATTATTAGGAGATTGGTTAATAGAGCATAAATCATAAAAAAAAAGAATAAATTGGGATAAATGCTGAATAAACTATTGAATGGTATATAATAACCTTTCAAATGGAAGCCTTTGATGTACTTTAAAACATAAGAACACCTCTGGTTTTGGCCAAAAGACAATGACAGGAACCAGATTTACCCTCCATTAAAATTAATTCCAAACTGGAGACTGGGCTTGTTCCCTAAACAGACAAAACCATGGAAGCAAAACTAAATCTACCTTATTTCATGAACGTAAGGAAACTTAGGCTTCTTCCCTTGTAAATACATCTGCCAATAGTGAAAGGAAATAACGTAGTTTTCCTAAAAATGGTATGAGATAATGAATCACTTTTAACCAATGCCCTGCCACTTGGACCCCCTGCTGTAATAACTAACCATTATAAAAGGTAAACAACTTCCTTTTCATTTTTAAGTCATCCTAAAACTCCGTGCCCATGAGCTTCAGATCATTCTTTGAACTTGAAGGTTCCCAAATTGCAAACTGTTCTTCTATGCACACTAAACTCTTACTAAATACTGTTTATGGATTTGGTGGTTTTAATTTAGCTATTTCTGAATTTGGGGCAGTGCCTGTCATCAGAAATGGGGTTCTAAGAGATCCCCAAAGATTCTGTAAGCAACCCGTGAGCTCACTCGGAGTTTGAGGGTCTCTCTGGGATCCCAGCTTCACTCTTTTTGTGTTTTGAGTGCTCTGACTTTGTTATGTATATTTGCATTTTGTTTGTTGACATTTCTTGTTAAGTCACCCTATTCTGTTCAAAAGAAGAGAAAACACACAATTCCCTGTGTTTTACAATAACTGTTAAGATGCAGGGTCCCTCACATGTCTTAGGAAATCTAAAGGCAAAGATGGGTTCTACCAGACCTAAAACTCTCCACCTTCCTCAAAAATTCCAGATGATTGATAGATGATAGATAGATAGATAGATAGATAGATAGATAGATAGATAGATATCTCCACTTTAAGGGATACCCTTGTTACCCTTGAAGAGACAGGATCTCAAACTCTCAGAGACAATGGAACATTCTTTGATTGATATGCAGAAGCTTCTAAAAGACAAAATGACTCCAAAATAATTTCTCCTATAGAATCCCTGCAGTGTGCAGGTGGTCTTAACTTAGTCCATCTGCCAGAAACATGATTTGGATCCTGCTATTCTTTTAAATGTTGTATTATTTTATCTGAGACATGGCTAAATTTTTACATGAAAGCTGTAAGATCTCTGTGTCTGTCTATCTGCTTATGTCTATCTATGTTTGCATATATAGTATGTATACGTGATATTTTGAGAGTTCTATTTAACTGGCTTAAAGAAAAATAAACACATATAAATTAACTATTCCTAAAACTTTCAGAAATATCAGAGGTAGCCCAAATGTTTTTCAGGTTCACATGCTCTGTAAACTTTGATAAGTAAAGCTAGTTTACGTTTGTTGGTTTAATAAAAGCAGGCATGTCTTTGTCAACATTAAATATAATGCAAACAAAAAATAAATAAATAAATAGCAAAAAAGAAATAAATGTAATGCAAACATACAATTTTTTCTACCTGGGTTTACTAGTCAAATAAGCTCATGCTATCTCTGTTATATAATTTGTCAACAAGAAAAATAATTTAAAATGACAATTAGCTGTTTGATACCTAATCTAAGCATAATTGTTAAAAACAAGTAATTTAAGCAGATGTACATAAATTAATACCAAATTAAACTAAATAACGAATACCAGTTGAATATCCAGATCGTTTCTGATCATATACCAAGAAAATTGCTAAACACATGTTTATTTACTTTTGGCTTTTTTAAATTTTACAGAGAAATGGGATATTTGGGTCTGTTCATAAATATGTCTTTTGCCACATTAAAAAATTGTCCTATGAAGAACCTTTTTAAAAATTACAAATTATAGCCCTGGTCAGCTTGGCTCGCTGGTTAGAGCATCAGCCTGCAGTCCAGAGAGACCTGGATTCAGTTCCCGCTAAGGGCACGTACCTCGGTTGCAGTTTGTCCCCGGCCCTGGTTGGGTCATGTGGGTGGCAACCAGTCGATGTGTCCCTTTCATGTCGATGTTTCTCTCTCTCTCTCTCCCTCCCACTCTATCTGAACAAAAAGTGGAAAAATGTCCTCGGGTGAGGACAAAAAAAATATTACAAATTTTATAGTTATATATTTATAAATGTGTTAACCTATAGGGTGCTAATATATGACAGACAGTTCACAAGTGTCAGTTTCCTAGTTTTCACTGGAAAGTAAAGATTACTGAGAGTTAAAATTAATAATCAATATATAGAAACAAAACTACTAGAAGCAGTAAGAGTGAAAGGAAACAATTTTGTATACAAAGTATGGAAAGAAAATGGGACTTTTTTTCAAAAGAAGAGTATACAAGAAGTGTAGGATGTGGTTTTGTTAAGGAAAAAGAGAGTAACGTGGCCTAAAATAAAATGGCTGGTTGTTCCAGAAAAAGAAAGAATAAGGCAAAATTTGTGTGGATATAAAAAGCTGCAGAAGGTTTGTGGAAATTTTATGTTATGAGGTCAAAGCTGTCTACACAGAATCATTTCCATCAACCCACATGCATCTCTATCAAACATCTACTCTTTTGTGTGACAAAGGCCATGGGCCATGACATACCAGTTTTTTCAGTTATTCATAACTTACAAAATACTTTACTCAGAGAAACAATGGAATTGTGTGGTTGGTTTCTCCGTTGCTGAAAAAAAATGAAGAAAAGAAGCACATTTAAATCATCAGGAAGTAGAAATTTATTTAGCACACACTGATTTTTTTAATTGACCCACTAGCCTATCCCCACTCTCTACTCCTCCTTGTGTTCTTACACAACTTATACTTTGTTCCCTAAAAACAAATTGGCTATACCAGGGTTCAACAAAGCAATGTCGGCAAGCTGCTCCGGGATCCTAAGCGTTTTAAAGAAATCTTATTGACAACATTATTCTACTGGGAAAATACATTCTATAACAGAGAGGGAGAAAGAAATAAAACGGGTCAAGAAACACTTACCGGCATGTACCTCCTCGCACACAAATCTAGTCGCCCACCACCCATCAAGAAGGAACTGTCTCCCTGGTGCAGAAATACCGCGATGCCCACCGTCAGGGCTGCCGACTCCACGTCTCGGCCTACCCACGAGCGAGGAAGATCGGGAGCTGGGACAGAACTGTTTCTGCAGTCTCTCTTCCTCTTCTCACCTCTAAAACATACTCCTTTCCCCCAGTTATAGGTGGGTCTACGTCAGTCATTTCCAGGTGTAGCCACTTCACGTGCAGGTGAGAGATCGGAAATGCAGATTTCCATCGAAATGCATCTCAAGCTAAACTCGATTTCAAAATACATAGCCCATACCATTTCCCCCTGAGGGCTTTTCTTGCAAGTAATTCAAATTACTGAAGAAAACCGAAGTCTATGTCCCACTTTGGAGGCACATGGGAAGCTCTTGAGAGTCTTCGAAATGCCAACTTGTGGTTCCCTTTTATCCTCCCCCAGCATCATCGCTCAGGACCCCTAAGAGTTCACATTCCAGTCAACTCAAGGTGTTTTTTACACTATCTTCCCAAGAAATGCTCATTACCCTCCGATGGAACCAGAGATTGCATTCGTATGCTTTGAAGATGGAGGAAGGGACCGTCAGCCAAGACACAGAGGTGACTCTGGAGCTGCAGGAGGAGCCAACCCTGCAGACACCCTTGACAGCCCTGTGAACCCGATTTCACGGACTCCCAGAACCTCAAGAGAATACATGTGTAGTGCGGTAAGCCACTACGTGTGTGGTGGTTTGTTCCAGCAACAAGAGAAAATAAATACACCATATATATGAGCCCAAAGCTGCTTCTCTGAGGAAAAAAGCATGAAATTCTGCCGGGGGGGGGGGGGGGGGGCTCTGCGCATCTGTAGATTCACTTCATTCAAAAGCTATTTTACACACAGCCTGCCTTTCTGGGGGCTTATCTTAAATTAGAGATAAAATATCACAGGAAGGAAAAAATAGCATTTGGTAAATTTTTAAAATTATAACTTATTCTAAAGGTATTTCTCATGGCTAGAGACAGTCTTTGCAGGGCAATTGGCCTTTAAATAGAGAAAATAATGATCCAAGTTTCAGATTCCTGCATTAGGGTTTATTACATGCAATGTCTGGGTTATATTAAAGTCTTGGAAATCAGGGTTTATAATGGGATGGCTGACAGACCCTTAACTTTAATAGCCTGTCCAAGTACTGCAATAGTGAGCATTACTTTTTAATGTCATAAAATGATGGTTAAAACACTATGGAATTTTCTCAAGACAGATAAGCAGGTGTTCAAGAGAGCAGAACTATTTAAACTCCATTGATTTATGGTCTATCTTATATCGAAGGCCAAAAGTTTTATTGAATTCTCACAGTAGATACTCTGAACTTAATTTTCCAAAATAGTAGGACTATTTCAGGGGTCTCCGTATATATTAATTTCTTCATTTTAACACTGATGTTTCCGTATTTTTAACGTTAGTACACCTAATGAAATGGAAGCCTTGGTCAAAATTGTGTTACTTTATACTTTCTTTTTATTGGCTGACTTTTCAAAGTACATTTTATGTGATAAAAGCTCAGTAAATAGCTACTAAATGATATAATCTAGGAACACAAGCTCCCAACTAATCCTTTAAGCCGCACAAAACTTCCGTCACTCTTTAGAACTGTGACTATGACATAACTGCTTAGTGTGAAGAAATGGCAAAGGGTTTGTCATAACCCCTTCACTCCAGGGCGTTCCGCCCACCCCGAACCCAGTTATGCTGCCTGACTGAAAGAAGAGGGGCCGTTAGAAAAGCCCCAATAAGCTATCAAACATTTTATATGATCTCTTAGCATTTTCTGCTGGTTTACATGAAAATCAATACTCTTATAACTGCAGGACCAAACCCGAATGATTTAGTAGAACTGATATTTACTGTGGAATAAAACAGAAATACCATTAGCTCTCAAAATCAAATAACTGTAGAGAAAGCTAGAAGCAAAATAATTATTAATATTCAGGCATGTGGCTACCGGAGCACCTGATATCCCAAGTTATCCGCGGTACTGACTGTGATAGCAACGGATTCCTCTTGCGAAAAGAATGGCTGGAAGCTGAGTAGACACAGGGCTTACAGTGCATGAACTTCTTTGCTTGGCCTCTGTTCCTAGGCTCTCATAGCAAAAGGAGTCAAACCTAGAAAATAGAAAAGTGTGAGAGCTATAGTGAGAATGAAATGATGGCACATGGTCAAAAATTTAAAAACTTAGCTAGTAGCAGTTCAGCGATCCTTAGAACACACTCAGTTAAATGAACATATCTAGATAACATCTACCCAGGTGAACAATTTTGTTATAATCCAAGATAATTCCCCGAGACATGTCCCTTTAAAAATGGATATTACTATATAATAGTTTTAAAAGGACGGGTTTAATGCTGCAGTATGCGTTTATATCTTTTTGACAAGTTATGTATATTGCTATGCTTCATTGAAATTTCTCATGGTTCATTCAATTCCCACAACCAAGCAATCAGATTGAAAGGGAAGCCTTGGTTTTTGAACAAATAAGGGAAGCTACACAAAACTGTATTAAATTTTTTTCTTGGTCAGATTTGTAAAACATAAAGATTGTTAATTTATGCAAAGTATCATTTTCATTATTTATAAGATTGCATTTCTGGTTTGTTTAAAAAACTTCAACCAAAAGCATAAACAAAATGAACTTTTCTCCCATAAAAATAGCCAGTTATTTGATCAAATTCACCTGAATTTACTTTCCCATCTCTTTTGTCAGGTACAGGCATGTGTCTGGAGCAATGAGAAGACGGAAGGTAAGAACAGCTGGGATGTTTTTTTATTTAAGTACAGCTGGTATACAATCTTATATTGGTTATAGTAGTTTCAGGTGCACAATATAGTGATTTGACATTTTTATATCATACAATGTGATCACCCAGCCTACTCTAGTAATCATCTGTCACCATTCAAACTTATCACGGTATTATTGACTATATTCCCCTTTATCTTTTCACCCATCTCCCTCACCCCCTCCCTTCCGGTAACCATCTCTTTGGTCTCTATTTCTGTGAGTCTGTTTTTTGTTTTGTTTTGTTTTAGAGTCTACATATAAGTGAAAACATAGGCAAGGTATTTGTCTTTCTCTGTCTTTCACTTAGCATCATACCCTCAAGACCCATCCATATTGTTGCAAATAGCAAGATTTCATTTTTTATTGATACGTAATATTCCATTATACACACATATACACACCACCACATCTTCTTTATCCATCTATCTATTGATAGACCCCTAGGTTGCTTCCATATTGTGGCTATTGTAAATATTGCTGCAATAAACATAGGTCTGCACATATCATTGTAAATTCATGTTTTTTTTTCTTTGGATAAATACCCAGAAGTGGAACTGCTGGGTAGTATGATATATCTTTTAATTTTCTGAGGAATCTCCACTGTTTTCCACTAGGGCTGCACCCGTCTGCGGAGGGCATGGAGAAAGGAGAATCTTGTGCACTGTTAGTGGGACTGCAAGCATGCAACAAGATGATTTTCTCCTTTGGTATCCTAACCTAATATTTTATACATAGGTAGATAGAGAGATAGACATATATAACTGTTATTATAAACTGTGGCTGTCATTTGAACCAATTGCCTAAGAAAGACTACAGTATTCCTCTAAAATAGACAACATTTTTTTTAGGAAGCCATCTAACAGACTGCTGGCATTTGAAATATGGGCCCACTATATAGATGGACATTTAGAAAAGGAAGATTTAAATTACTCTGTATAATGAAGTAATAGAGAATTTGGAGTTACCCACCAGTGCTTTGAGAAAGGAATTGGGACCCTGGAAAAGGAAACTTAAAGATGTATCAAGGAGGAAACCCCACCACGTGGCAGATTACACAGAAGGCCACGATCGTGCAGACATTGTTGGTAAATTTGCAAGAATAATGTTATGATTGAAAGATGTTTCCTGTCTCTGTGGTATGGCCTTTCCATGATTCCCTAAACCTTTAGAAAAAGCCTTGTTTAAGTAGGGACACTGGCAAAGTGAGCTGAGACCCAAGGAGGGGAAGACGTGATGGATCCAGGGGAGAGTAGACAAGGCAGTGGAGGAAGCAATTGTAGAACAGACGGGAGACAACCCCCACTTCCCACGTGGACACCAGGAAGCTGATTCCTGCAGGGGTGCCGTAGGGGAGGAGAGGCTACACCCTGCCAGCCAGAGCTAAGTCCATTTAGTCATCAGACACGTGAGTTATGCTGGAGAGAAGAGGGTCCCCACAAGAACCTAAGCTGTGCCTTTCCCTGGAGCTGAGCAATGTCTGCAGGTGTTTGGAAAACAGGGAATGTAGGCAGGAAAAAAACCATTCTGTTTGAGGAACTAGTGTGCCTTTGACTTCTCAGCATATGAACATGCTCACATCGCTACCACCTTACGCTCCGCCAACGCCTCACTATACACACATACTAGACACTCTCTCTGAAGTGTATTCACCGTACTGTCTGCTCCTTCTCCCCACAGGTCTATAGTTAGAAGAGCTGGGTATACAAGCTATCTGCCCGTCCTCACCTCACGTCCTCTTTTTAACCCCATTTCCTCACTGCCCATGGTCACATGAAGATAGATTCATTTTGAAAATAAACGAGTCATCGATCAGTGTTTTCAATTTAACAAGTAAAGATGATTTTGTATTTACATAATGGGTTTCTTCTTGTAAAAATTAACAGGCGCTTTTCCGTTCTTCTCTTCCTTGCCCTCCCTACTATATTTGACACTCATGAGTCCTCTATCCTGTTTGGAAACTCTCCAAATTCTTTGTGTGACTCTGGCCTCTTCTTTTCCATTTCATAAGCCCCTTTTCCACTCTGCAACTCTTACATACTGGTGTCCAAGTACGAGAGAGCCGGGCTCTGCACAACTAGGTCCAGAAGGCGAGGTGGGGCAAGGGAAGGTCAGCTGGAGAGTTGACAGCTGGCACATCATGAAACAAGCCAGAGTGAGATGCTCAGGCTTAGCCTCAGCTCAATGGGCAGTCACTGAAATGGGCGGTGATAGGTTTGGGATGATAGGAGACTCTTCATTGTAGAAGGGCACTCTGGAAAAAGAACTGAGCATATAAAGACTAGACGCGGGAAGACCAGGTAAAGATGTGTTGCAATAATTCAAATGATCAGGATGTAGTGTACACATACCCTGTGGGAAAGGGGGAGAAAAGAAAGGGACAGATTCGAGAGATATTCAGGAAGTTGAACTGGCAGAACTGGATGACTGGTTGAATGGAGATAAAGAATCTGAGAATGACACCCAGGTTTCTGGCGGGAATAGTCAAGTGGGTGATCAGGCCATTCACTGAGATAACCTATTTGGGAAGAGGAGGAAGAGCAGGAGACTGTCTAATGATTAATTAAGTCAGGGCTTGTTGAGTTTAGGTCTCTCTACCCAAGTGGAAATGTCCATATGGAAATATGCGTCAGAATCTCAGGAGGTTTGGACTGAGATATAATTTGAAAATCGTGAGAGTATAGGAAATAATTGGAGACATGGGTTTGATTTGATAACATTGAGTCTCTTCTTTCCCGTACCCTCCTTCTCCACATCAAACTATAAGAACATAACCAAGGACTAAACAAACAGCTGGATGAAAGACTCCAATACTTGATGAGGAGTGGATAAGAGGGACCCGAGAGGAGTTTCAGAAGCTGTTGTGGATGTCTTCTACATGGATCTATAAACATTGAAAGAGAGAAGGGCTGGGATGAACACACAGAACAAGGACCTCAGAAGAACTAAAGACAATTCATAGCACAAAAAAGATTTATTTAAAAACTCTCATTGGACCCGGGTTCAGTTCCTGCTAAGGGCACGTACCTCGGTTGCAGTTTGTCCCCGGCCCTGGTTGGTCGTGCGGGTGGCAGCCACTCGATGTGTCCCTTCACATCGATGTTTCTCTCTCTCTCTCTTCCTCTCTCTCCCTCCCGCTCTATCTGAACAAAAAATAGAAAAATGTCCTCGGGTGAGGATGAAAAAAAAAAAAAAACCCTCATTGGTGCCTAGCTGGAATGGCTCAGTGATTGAGCATTGATGCAGGCACCAAAAGGTTGCTGGTTCAATTCCAGTCAGGGCACATGCCCGGGTCACGGGCTTGATCCCCAGTGGGGGGGCATGCAGGAGGCAGCTCATCAATATTTCTCTCTCATTGATGTTTCTATCTGTCTCTCCCTCTCCCTTCCTCTCTCACTAAAAATCCATGAAAACATTAGGGGAAAAAAACCTCTCATTGGTAACATTGGAAATTTAAGAGAATATTATATCCATTACAAATAAAATAAAAGCAGAAACTGCTGTGATAGGAACTACCAGAGAACACGAAAATATTCCTTAATATTAAAAATATTAGGATTGAAATTTTTTTTTAAATCACTAGAAATTCTAGAAGAAAAAATTGAGTAAATGCCCCAGAATGTAGAATAAAAAGTTTGCAAAAAATGGGGTGTATGAGGAAAAGCAGTTAGGAGACTTAGGAACAGCTCAGGAGGTCCAATACGCAATTAATTTATTTAAATTGCATTCAGATGCTTAAAGCCATTTCTTTATTTCTTTACAAATAAATAATCTGATCATCCTCATGTGTCTCCACCTGAACAGTTGCAGAAACTTCTATGTTAGTCAAAGCAATAAATTCAATCCAATGCAATAATTACAAAGCTCCTTCAGTGAATTTTCATCCTTTTGATTTCCTCTTCTTATTACTCAACTATATCCTGCCCATCCCTGCAGGCACACACATCATACATGCAATACACCTCTGTCTCTCTCTCCTCTCTCTTTCTGCGTCTACCTCCCTCCCTCTCTCTCTTCCTAAGGTCTTGCGGTTCATAATTTGAAATGTCTTCGTGACCTTAAAAAAGAATTTTTGCATAGCCAGTGAGAAGGGTGGGTTTGGGGAGTTGAGATCATTAGTAATCTCATAAGACAAAACATACAGACATGCTTTCAAAGCTTAATCAGGCTCCAAAATTAGTCACTAGACTTGCTGGCAAATGATCAAATCACTAGGGTCCTGATTCCAGGACAGAAACATGACCTTATTCAATTATTCTGAACAGAAAAAGGGGTACAGATGCTTTAGCTGCACTGATGAAAAGTTTTTCCATACTTTATTTA